AGTCACCTATTATAGCTATATACTATAGAGGGACAAGGATCGTGAAACAGTCATTTATGGTAGCTATATACTATAGAGGAGACAAGGATCGTGATACAGTCATTTATGATAGCTATATACTATTGAGGGACAAGGATCGGGATACAGTCTCCTATGGTAGCTATATAATATAGAGGGACAAGGATCGTGCTACAGTCACCTATTATAGCTGTATACTATAGAGGGACAAGTATCGTGATACAGTCACCTATAATAGCTATATCCTATAGAGGCACAAGGATTATGATACAGGCACCTATGATAGCTAGATACTATAAAGGCACAGGGAACGGGATACAGTCACCTATAATAGCTATATCCTATAGAGGGACAAGTATCGTGATACAGTCACCTATTATAGCTATATACTATAGAGGGACAAGGATCGTGCGACTGTCCCATGTGGTAGCTATAACTATAAAGGAGGCAGAGACTGTGCTACTGTCTCTTGTGGTAGCTTTTACTTTTATTAGAGGCAGCCTGTGATACAGTCCCCTATGATAGCTATATACTATAGAGGAGATAATGATCGTGATACAGTCACCTATGATAGCTATATACCATTGAGGAGATAATGATCGCGATACAGTCACCTATGCTAGCTATATACTATATATACTCCTTTATTCCTGCCCTCGCAGCATACGGAGAAGCTGATTTAACTAACATCACATTACGAGTATTTTTAGACCAGGAAGATGACGAAGTAAAACCAAATTACATCCTAGCATGTGAAAGTGAGACACAGAGACGGGAGAAAAAAATATTAAGGGCATACCTTCAAACTAAATCTGGTCTGGTCTCAAACTGTTTTCTGGTCCTGTCTGGTCTTGTCTCATGGATCAAACTATTTCAGTCTTTATACAATACTGGAAATGGTATCACTACTTAAATGTTAATAAATTAAAATCTTGTTTAATTGAATTCTTATAAATTAAGGCATTAACTAAAACCTGTGAAGAATTACAAAATATTATGGAAATGCATTGGATTCCTTACGGCCCATCAACACAGAAAGGTCATTAGGGTCAATAAAAGGAAGAACAAAAATATGTTGAAAGAAATGACATTATTTAAACGAATATGTTAAAAATGGCTGTGGTTAGGTATAATTTTTCGAGCAGACCTCAAACTGTACCGTTATCAGTGTTACTTAACCTCTGTTACAGCTACGTTGATACAACTTGTCACAACGATACGCCAACTGACCACAATGTCTGGCATTGTGATAACAGGCTTGTGATACGAAAGTTACCAAAATGGTATATATAATTGATAACTTGAAACAATTCATGCCTCTTCGACAAACCTCATTTTCACCATTGAAAACCCCCAAAGGACTCCTGGAAATAGAACTGCTGTATCCCACTGCTTGTAATAATTGAGATTCAACTGATATGGACAATGGGGGGTTTCCTTCAGTGCCATCTGCTTAGAAGATATTCCAGAAACCGATCTGATTTGCTGCCCGACTTAAACACTTTAAAGCAATGCCCTATCTTTTCTCACTTCCCTTACCCTTCTAGTCATACGCAAAGCAAACAAACTAATAAGCAAGAAACACGTTTGCAGGAGGCTGGAGTTACCTTACTTTTTATCTAAGCTTATATTTTAAGCCAACCAAATCTTTCTACTAATTGTTTTACTTTGTAGGGTTAAAGGGAAAGTTTCAAAAGTATTTAGTGTAGCGGTTGTATCAACGATTCGTGTATTTTCATGTTGCTACCCTCTCTCTCTTCTTCAAGGTATTTGGATTGTTCACAGGATTAAGATAATTGATTCACACAACGTCAACATATATTAACTTTTAGATTTACGAGGAATTGACCCCCTTATGATTCATTTTATTGAATAAGAAATTGGGCATTGCCATGTATTGATCGATACTTTGTCGAGCAATATAAACACATAAAAGCAAGACCCCACCAAATCCGAACCAGGCTATCTCTTATAGTATACCTTTTCAAGGAGGAATGTGAACACGGATACATATGTGAACCAATCCCATAAAGCATACCTGTACGGTGTTAGATATCACGCGTTATCGGTATAGAATGTTACATATGTTAAAAGCCAGACGTTTTCCGAAATGACTGATCCTGACAAGTGTTGTTTACTGTAGCAGTTGCCATTACGGTTGCTGTGGACCCATCATACTCACGCGAACAGGATTTGTGACATACAGGCAGCTAAATATAATTAAGGTAAGGTTTGCACGCTCCCCTGATTTTTTATTTGAAGATATTGTGTTTGTGTGGTATATTGAATTGTTTATGAAAGAAAGTCTTTCGTTTCAGGACATTTTAAAGAAAATCGCCCGTTCCGTTTTTTTGTTAAAAAAGTCAAATTTGTGATATTTTATAGTTTTATCACAATCAACTGTTTTTCAATACATTTGTATGTGTGTATAAACATTATGAAATTAGCGTACTAGAAATAGTAAAATCATTCTCTTCTTTTCATTAGCAATAAAGTTTAGTATCACTTATTTTAGATTTAAAAAAGAAATCTTTCTAAAATGGAACCGTTGCCATGCCAACCATCAATGTAAAATTAATCCTTTTCCTGGTCCAACGATGTTACGAAAAACTAGAGTACATAAATTGAATTATTTTCACTGTAATAAGCTAATTAAATTCATATGTCCCCGATCTCGTTTCCATGGTAACCGATGTAATAGTAAAGGCTTATGAAAATTAAAAAAATCAGGTATTTTCGTTTTGCATTTAAAGAAAAATTAGCGTTGGTATTCCTTTGAGAGCATGTATCTACATATTGATCATTTTGACCATCTTGGCCTTCTGGTCAGTCAATAATTGAGCAACATCAGTAAACAGAAAAAGACAGAACATACATACCTATCCTTATCGTTTTTTTTGCTATAGGGGCCTGAAAAGGGCAAGTAATGGCATTTTGGTTGATTTCTAAATTTTGCAATTAAATCCTATATAAGGGTCAAATCTTTCTACAAATGCTTATTTATATATTACATGTAACAACACATTTTTTCATTGGTTTTTCATAAATTATTCCCTTGAGATGTATTAATTTACATTTCATTGAAAGAAAATTGACTTTATTCTAATTTTACATATCCAGCAGAATTTCTGTTAGTTTCTGGTTACTATGGTAATTTGCTATGAGGTCAAGGAGGTTTAATTGTGATGTTTCTAATTAGACGCTCATAATGAAGCATTATCAATGAATAGACAGGGATAAAAAAACTATATACCTATCCAGATCTGTTTTCTTGCTATTGGGCCCTGAAAGGGATCAAAATTACATATATGTCAACTTCTCAATTGTTCAACAAAAACCAACACAAGAGTCAAATTGTTTTTACAAATGTTTTTTTTTTTTTTTTTTTTTTTTANATTACAATTTTCTATGGATTCTTCATATTTCTCCCAAATTAGATCTGTTGATATACATACTGGTTATCACAAATAAACAACTACAATTTATATCGGTTTTACTTATATTCACAAATTCTTTACAACCCAATTTTCAATTTTCAACTGAACTAAAGTAATGATCGCAATGAAAGCAACCACCTTAAAGATCCAGTTTCTCCCTCTCGCTCCAATTTGCACTCCTCGCTCTCTTGCAGTTCATTTCTGACATGTTCATAATAGCAGAGGTCGACACTGTGAAAACTTACCTACACCCCGTTTCGTGCTTTGACAGTTTACGGGAAAAAGTTTCACGTTGTTTACACGAGTTTATCGACCTCCTTCAAAAAAGAGTTCCCAGTCGGGCCGCTTACAACATCACGAAAACGTCTCAACTTTTCCTCAGCTAAGGATGTCCTTAAGTTACATGAGGAATGTTTATACAAGCCATATTTGAGGAAATCCCAGCTAAGGAAATCTCAACTTAAGGAAATCTCAAGTTGAGATTTTTTTTTATACAAGCGGGGCCTGTTCTGCCACATTCTAAGCACTAGATAATTCCACTGTTTTTTCTGAGATTGAATGATCTCCCCTGAAATTTGTTTGGGATATGATTGTTAAGGGATTTGGGCCCACTTGTATGAAATATTTCAACTCTTGAGATTTCCTCAAGTCTAAGATTTCCCATAGACAATACATTGCTTGGAATTTCCTTAACTTTGAGATGTTTTATACAAGTGGGCCCCGGTCATACAAATGTATACGACTTCCGTGACAAATTGATAATGTAGGTCAGTTTGTTAAATTGATTGAATATCATGCGTTTGCTGCTAAAATCCCATTTTGGTTTCTGGTGTACAATGTTTGTCCACAGCATCTATTTCTTCTCATTTTGTGACAATATTTGGTCTCTTCATCAAACAACATGACTGTTACCACTTTAACTCCAGGCAAATGTTTTACATCTTGATCTCACATCCTGGATGTGGACTTTGTAATTGTCTGGAGCAGCTATCTGTAAAAAGTCATTGTTCCTTTCTAAACAAGTTGACAATCTTTACATAGGTTCTGGAATCGATGTTTCACATTCTTGCCTTTCCTCTGAATATTGGTCATATGTGGTTGAATGTGTCCAGTGCCATTTTTGTTATATCAATTATATGAGATGCCCCTCCCTACTCCTTTCACAAATTTCGTCATTGGTCATTTCCTTTTTGTTCTATCCATTTGGTTAGATTTTATTTAACAGTTTGATGGTGAATTGTCCAATGTGACAATCCTCTTGACATGTTCACGTGAAAGTAAATTAAATGGATTACAGATAGGCATACCTAGGGACAGTCTTTAAAACAGTGATCTACTGGACCGAAATGACCTCTAAATATTGTAAATGATTATAATTTCTATTGATTTTGTAAACAAATGTAATTGTATAATTGACAGATACGTATTTATGTAATACATATAAAAAAATGACATATTATAGTAAAAGACAACTAATATGTTTCTTACCATTCATGTATTTCACTATAGCTAGTTGTTCATCATAAAATGTACATATATTACCGTGGAAACAGCATGAAATTAGCAAACACAGCCAATTGCATTGACAGAATCTGTTGCAAAGTGTACATTTCAGATCATTTAATTTGTGTTACATGCAAGCACATTACGAGTTGTTTCCTTGCAAAGCTGTGTCATTCCAAAAGATCATAAATGCCATACAAAAAAAAGTTCAATACCTATATTTACGTCTTCTTCGCCTTTTATGTTTTTTTTTTAAAACAGCGTGTTGTAGCGTACTGATTGGCAAACCAGTAGTACTTTGAAAATGTAACAAACACTTGATTTTATTCCAAAATTTATTGTAAATACAATTCCGTATGATATGTCGATAGGGTGATTTAAGTTATCAATAGAAATCTGCGCTGCAAGTTAGATTCTAACATTGGTTTGATGTTAACCGCGGAACAAATTTTGCGCATGGATAAATACAGTCAACACCTTAAGTGCCCTCCACGAGGGAGTAATGTTTGGAAATTGAATGTGCAGTGTGAACAGTTCGAATTGCATGTAAACTTGGCTACATTTGGTAGATGCTACAACAGACTCGCTATTTTACATGTCGTCAGAAATTGCGGAAACCGTGGCTGATGGACGCGTGCACGTGATAGCGTTTGACGTGTGTGTCCTTGCGACATAGCGTGGAACTACGGCTGATTGTAACTCAGGATGAGTTAAACAGGAGAGTTCGCCACTCAGTGCTTTCTTTTGTGATGTTGACACGGCCCTGTTATATGACCGGAGTTAGGATTCGATTTTGTGATTAGACATAACCATGATATGCCTCAAACTTTTGATCATTCAAATATTGTACGAATTTGGATGAACTTGCATTTGTGTCAATTGGTTCAAAACCAATGTCTTCCAAGTTGATAGTTGTTTAAGTTTAATCCCCGCTAGATGAAAATTCATCAACAAAAAAGTCGGGCAAATCGAAGAAAAATTGGGAAGATCGTTTGATTCTGTCATGGTTAGATAAGTGCAGTTTAACAGACGATATTTCGGTTAAATGAGTGATATTACTGATCTTTGTCTTTTCGTTGTTTTGATTAAAGTATTTCAATAACATTTTCTCGTTTTTCTTTTACATTTTTACAATTACATTGTAAGGTCTCAATGCCCTGCGATATCTAAGCAGCCGCCATGTTTGTTTACATTATATATTGTATTTCCGGTCTGCGTTGTATTAATACGCTAAGAAATGTGTCTCGTTGTGCATGACATTGAAAGTCCCATCAACTACACAGATTTCAAGTAGATTATCTAGTTTACAATGCCATGCAAATGCAATCCTAATTGATTTAAGTCGCAATGTAACATAGTGTCGAATCTATTATGATTTAACATTGATGCTGTTATGCAAATGTTTGATTTGCAAACAAATGTACACTTCAATGTTGTACGGCAAAAGTTAATTGCGTGTTAATTTACCTATCTATCTAATTTTGTATTGTGTATGCTTACATATCCGATTTCAGGAGAGCAATATACACACGTAAATAGAGTAACGTTACCTTAATCGAGAGATCAAGGGTTACCACTGTCACCGGAAAACGTGGTTGTTTCTCAAGTTTTCCATATCAGGAAGGGAGAATTTTGACTCTGCGATCTGTCGTTAATACAACCCGAACAAACGGACTGTCTAGACCACACGTGTGTAATATCACCTGTGCGTTTTGGTTGCTATTCATTCATAAAGGATGCTAAAGAAGGAAGTTTGTCAATTTCAAAGGGAAATATTGATATCACCACAGTGCTATATTCATATTTTCTGTCACAATTTTTAGATTTATCTAGACGTGTCAAATTATCTGCTAAGCGAGGAGTTTCAAATATCCTAAGTTTGGATTTTAAGTTTTTTTTCTGAGGAATGGTGGTTTACACAATTACTTGGACCATACTATAGCTATAAAGTCAACAAGTTTCTGGTGATTCACTCCTTATTAACCTGTATGTTAAATTGACAGACACTAATAAAAGAAAGAGGTAATTTAAAATTGCATTGAAATAATAATAAAGTTTTATGTGGGCAGTCTAAAAAAACAAAAACAAAAAAAACCCCAACAACACATATAAGAGTAACCATTCCATTCTTCAAAAAACAACTGCTCCAACTTGCAAATGAGCGGATTTATAACATGGAATTAGATTAATGTATGGTAATGAACTCAAGTTTGAAGTAATGCGAGTCTTGCATATTTCTAATATGATATAAATATAAACTGTGATTCATTTATTTGCAATTTGTTTTATATTTATACAAATACATTTATCTGTTTGCAAAGGACACATAGATGGATCGTTTTATATCTATAAAGAAAACCATGGGAAGTGTACACATTCTACACAATTCATTCAATGATTCGTTAGTATAATTTGCATGTGCTTACGAAGGAGGCGGAATGATCTTAATCCGATCACCACATACACGGTTTTGATTGATATAAAATGAAGTTTGTACATGTGATATATTCTTTCACTTATTGTAAGGCCTGGGTCACACATTCAGGATTTTTACTGCCGTCCTTGATAGGACCATTCCCATTTAAAATTTGTCAAAAGTCTCAGGTGACCTAAACACGATAAATATAATGAGACAAACTGTTATTGAGCTTGGTACATGTAAACAATATACTTAAATATTTTGAAAATAGATATATAATGACGATTACATAAATAATGTAATGAAATTTTGTAAACATTATTTGTTAAAAGAATGACTCATATGTTATATGAAGGACTTGATATACCCGGTAAACACATGAAATGAAACACTTTGACACTTTTTGTAGAATTTGCTGGAAAATGATTCCTATCAGATTGATTATTAGATTAGGACTTCTCCCCCTACTACTGCGGCTGGTTATCAACTCAAAAGGTAAGTACGGAGCTTCCATTTATTTGAGCGGAGATAGACAGAAAACAGATATACTTATGCATTGGACTAGAAAATAAATTTGTCCATCCGTGTATAGACTTAAAACCGAAGTACGCTCTGATTAAACGGCGCATCAGTTTATTTACTGAGTGTATTTCGCGGTTTTCGGTCTATTCATCCATTCAAAAATACAAAGGAAAATTTCTATTGTTCACAAGATGTGTTATTTATATTTACAGCAAAGACTGTATTTTTTTGAATGGCGCCGCAAGGATTTTCATGTTGATCAACCAAAGGTCATGTTTTAAATACCCCGCGCGTGCTATGACGTGCGAACCTGGTTTTACATGTACCCTCTCAAATAACAACACGTATAAGGCCATGTCGAGATCTTTGTTAGTCAGCGGGAATATTTCCATATCATCTCAAAAATCGTGAATAATGCTCTAATTTGAAAAGTCAAAAGACATGGTTGCAGATGATTACCTGCCAGATGACTACACTACTTCTTTGTGAATAAAGCTGTACGTTGTGTACTACGTCATCAAACTATGTTCTTATTTTGTCGGCCTATCACAATTCCTTTCCATTTGTTTTGGTTATGTTGTTGCTAAACTAGTGATCTGTCATACTGTTATTTAAGAATATAAATACCGAAGTTTAAAACATATATCTTTTAAACTAATTCATTTCTATTGAGTACTATACATTAATGTATAGGGAACACTTGAACAAGCTTCCAAACTGTTGTTCTATTTCTTAAAAGCAAGCTTCAATACTTGGCATATCGGTATATTTGGACTTTGAATACTGTACCTGCTTTGCAACTTTGATTTTGTTTCAGACAGCAATATTGGTCATGTATAAAAATGAAATAGTGATATACACCATATGTGTCTATCAATTAGTCATACATCAATACTGATATTGAGACCATTCAATTCACAATGAACTAATTTTGATGTGGATTTTTTTGTTAGAAACCTAACCTGATCTGAACAATTTAATTCATGTTGATCTTTAAATTCATTTATATAAATGTTGGCAAAGTTTTATCTGATCTTAATGAGGTATATATTAACTGAAACAGTAGGGTGGTCTAGACACAGAATATCTAATCAAAATTTGCACTTATATTTCAAACAGGTGTACAATCACAAAGTGTCGCGTGTCAGGAGAACTGGGCAGTCTATGGAAATCATTGTTATCGGGCAATACCTTACCTAACAAAATCATGGGAAGATGCAAAGGTACAAATATGCCAGATATGTTATGTTTTGGTTTTGTTTGTTTTGTTATGCAACCAAAAAACATCATGTTTTAAATTTCAGGATGGCATATCATATTAATCATGTCAACCTCGCAAAAAGAATATATGATATTTGAACATATTTTGACATTATACCTGTATATTTGTCGTCTTGGAGTTGATATGATGTACGGCTACTTACCCGGACCACAAATAACATTGTTCATAACTACGGAGCCCCTTTGTGGACATGCTAGTATTATTTTTATCTTGTGCGCACAACATATTAACTCGTGCGCACGAGATAAAAAATAATATCAGCATGTACCAAAGGGCTCCATACATACATTAATCAATAAAGAGGAAATCCTGTCATAAGTGGGCATATTATTAACATGGTGTTGTTTTACGTTTTAGAATGATTGTCAGAGCTATGCCAGCAACCTCGTCAAAATAGAAACCGCAGACGAACACTTGTGGCTGAGGATTTTCTCGATACAATCTGGTATTTTCTTTTTATTTGTCATTTTGCTTAATGAAGGGAATTAATTTTTCGAAGTACATATTGTTGCCAGTTCCGGCATCAGATTCCATCAATTGATTTTGAAATACTTAATTGCGTAATATTTAATACGACTATTATATCTTGCTGATTAATGACCACGTGTGTGCATTTGGATATGTTGAAAAGATTATTCTTGGATTGGAGCAAATGACCGTGATAAAGAGGGTGAATGGCGATGGATCTCTGACAACTCTACAGTAACATTCACAGACTGGAAAGCGGGTGAACCTAATGATGTCGGTGGTGACGAAGATTGTGTTATCATGGGCATTCACTGGAATGATGACAACTGTACCAAAGAAAATTCATTTATTTGCGAGAAAGAAGGTTAGTCATAGTTTTTATCAGATCTGAGAAAATACAAACTGACAATCATTTTAATGCGGATAAATATGGTACGTCATAGTATACACCTACCGTCTACTGTTAAAATGCTTCCGTCTTTTGGTCGAGGTTATTTTTGATATTTCCATTTTCATTTCTATGTAAATATGGTTCTGGTTAACAAACTCCCCAATTTGCAATTTGTCAAATATTTACTATTGAAAAATTTCACAGTATACTTCACAAATATAGCACGTCATAGGTGTTGCCCTTGTGCTGATGACAATTTTACAAATGTTTGTACAAGTAAATACAGTGTAAGTTGACAAAGATGGAACATGACACATAAATACTTGTCTATACATGTGTCTTTGATGTTTTGTATTTAGATTATTTATTTTAGAATAAAAATGTCGAAGTTTAAAACATATACCTTTTTAACTAATCCATTTCTATTGAGTACTATACATTAATGAATAGTAACACTTGGAAAAGCTTCCAAACTGTTGTTCTATTTTTAAAAAGCAAGCTTCAATACTTGGCATATCGGTATGTTTGGACTTTGAATACTGTACCTGCTTTGCAACTTTGATTTTGTTTCAGACAGCAATATTGGTCATGTAAACAAATGAAATAGAGATATAAACCATATGTGTCTATCAATTAGTCATCCACCAATACTGATATTGAGACCATTCAATTCACGATGAACTAATTTTGATGTGGATTTTTTTGTTAGAAACCTAACCTGATCTGAACAATTTAATTCATGTTGATCTTTAAATTCATTTATATAAATGTTGGCAAATTTTTATCTGATCTTAATGAGGTATTTATTAACTTAAACTGTAGGGTGGTCTAGACACAGAATATCTAATCAAAATTTGCACTTATATTTCAAACAGGTGTACAAACACAGAGTGTCGCGTGTCAGGAGAACTGGACAGTTTATGGAAATCATTGTTATCGGGCAATACCTAATCTAACAAAATCATGGGGAGATGCACAGGTACAAACATGCCGGATATGTTATGTTTTACATTTAACAGCAAAGAAACTGTATGATACATATTCAATATCCGTACTCAGTTCTTTTATTTTGTTAAGAGTTGAGGTTAAATTTCATTTTGTTTGGGTCTTCCCCCCCACCCATTGTTTCTTGTCTTTATTTTGCATAAACCATTGATTTCGTTAATATCCTTTTCTGTACTTGAAATATTAGAACCATCCTCATATTAGCCCACTCGTTTCATTCAGTTCAACCTCTTACAGAAAACTCATATTTAGTTAGGGTGTTTTTTGGTTTTTGTTTGTTTTGTTATCCAACCAAAAACATCATGTTTTAAATTTCAGGATGGCATATCATATTAACCATGTTAACCTCGCAAAATAAATATATGATATTTGAATATATTTTGACATTATACCTTGACATTATACCTTGACATTATACCTGTATATTTGTCGTCTTGGAGTTGATATGATGTACGGCTACTTACCCGGACCACAAATAGCATTGTTCATAACTACGGAGCCCCTTTGTGGACATGCTAATATTATTTTTATCTTGTGCGCACAACATATTAACTCGTGCGCACGAGATAAAAAATAATATCAGCATGTACCAAAGGGCTCCGTACATACATTAATCAATTAAGAGGAAATCTTGTCATAAATGACATATTGTTAAAATGGTGCTCTTTTACGTTTCAGAATGATTGTCAGAGCTATGCCAGCAACCTCGTCAAAATAGAAACCGCAGACGAACGCTTGTGGCTGAGGATTTTCTCGATACAATCTGGTATTAATTTGTCATTTTGCTTAATGAAGGGAATCAATTGTTCGAAGTGCATATTGTTGCCAGTTCCAGCATCAGATTCCATCAATTGATTTTGAAGTACTTAATTGCGTAATATTTGATAAGACTATTATATCTTGCTGATTAATGACTACGTGTGTGCATTTTGATATGTTGAAAAGATTATTCTTGGATTGGAGCAAATGACCGTGATAAAGAGGGTGAATGGCGATGGATCTCTGACAACTCTACAGTAACATTCACAGACTGGAAAGCGGGTGAACCTAATGATGTCGGTGGTGACGAAGATTGTGTTATCATGGGCATTCACTGGAATGACGACAGCTGTACCAAAAAACATCCATTTATTTGCGAGAAAGAAGGTTAGTCATAGTTTTTATCAGATCTGAGAAAATACAAACTGACAATCATTTTAATGCGGATAAATATGGTACGTCATAGTATACACCTACCGTCTACTGTTAAAATGCTTTTGGTCGAGGTTATTTTTGATATTTCCATTTTCATTTCTAATTTCTATGTAAATATGGTTCTGGTTAACAAACTCCCCAATTTGCAATTTGTCAAATATTTACTATTGAAAAATTTCACAGTATACTTCACAAATATAGTACTCGATAGGTGTTGCCCTTGTGCTGATGACAATTTTACAAATGTTTGTACAAGTAAATACAGTGTAAGATGACATAGATTAAACATGACACATAAATACTTGTCTATACATGTGTGTTTGATGTTTTGTACGTCCTTTGTTGATCACGTGAATGTCATGTGTCCTGTCCTGAGCGTAATGCCCACATGTAACGCACTGTCGCGTTGTGCATGAAATGTGTTTGTAAAAGTACGTTGTTACCCGTCAAACCTGTTTGGTCATGTCTCATGTGGCTGTTTTGCTGGTGAGAGTGATGTGAGAGAAATATCAGATCTAGACTAACGGTATCAGATATTAGGTGTCGGTACCAGATGTAACATAACTTACAGTGAGCGTCCACAGTGGCAATTATGTCATGACTGGGGTTAACTGAACAGACAAGCAAAGGTAAGTGTTTATTCAAATATAAACAGTACATTCACCAGATTCTATTTTCGTAAAAGTAATTAATTAGTTCCATTGTTTTGGGCATACATTGATTTCATTCTTCCAAAATGTCAACAATATTTGCACGTAAGGTACACGACGATTTGTCGTTTTAATTGCTTTATTAGCCATTTTGGGGCATATATTGATTTCATTCTTCCAAAATGTCTACAATATTTGCACGTAAGGTACACGACGATTTGTCATTTTAATTGCTTTATTAGCCATTTTGGGGCATATATTGATTTCATTCTTCCAAAATGTGTACAATATTTGCATGTAAGGTACACGACGAAATGGGAACCCTGTCCAAACGGTAGGGCAGAATATCAAAAGCAAACGTCTAATTACATATGAATTGCTTTACTTGAAAGTAACGTTTATGTTGTGTTCTGTAATTCATTTGCTTTCTAAATATCATATGGTTGTACATGTACATGTATGTACCCCTTTCCTAACATTTCTGTTGTATGTTGATTTTCTTTTTTTGTTGGCGCTTAATAATCACCAATGTTACGAAGAACTGATCGGAGAGCGACATATATTTTAACCCGTGAACGTAAGTGTTTCATAATAGTAACATGACACAAACAGACAGATAGGTAAAGGCAGATAGACATTTTCCTCTCTGTTGTCACACCTATGAAAAAATATTGCATACCTGTAAAACAATTTCCGTTGCCTGTGATTTTGTATGTATAGATGAATTCACTCGTTATTCAAGCGATATCAAAGGTAGACTAAACGCTAAAACGTTACGCTAACGGTTTTGCTTCTGCAATTATTTTAGGATAGATGTATTTTGGTTCAAAAATGGTAACTTATGTCGTTATCCAGGGATCATTGTGCACCTTTTTTGTTATGATAAAATTACCACCAAAAGACCTTTAACAAACTGTCTACATAAGCATATTGTTTAGTTTACAATGTTCCATATGTTTGTACTGGTAGGTTTGGTCTGATAACACAGTCCCGCTTGATTGACACACTATTCCTACCAAGAGGACATGTAAAGAAATAACAGTAGCAAGGTAAAGTCATCTCCAATACTTTCATTGTAAAAACGATTCCTACGTTCATTACCCAATGCGTTATCAAATACCAGGTAGTATATTTATATTTCTACTTCCAAAATACCCATTAAGATGGCAAATAAAGTTAATCATAGCTAATGACTTTAAGGCTGGTACCCTTTTTAATATTTACCCTTCAATTTTGGAACAGATATGTATTTCAAATTAGCGAAAATCTTTACGCTACAGTATTCTGTTTACTTATAACATGCACCTTTTTTATTTTAGAAAGCACACACTGTTCAGCGGATTTAAAGTGTTGGATGTGCTCTCGGTATAGGGATCTGCAAAGTCTGCTTAGCACACCGGTAACAGCGAGTGTTCTATTCTATTACAACCAACTTTGCACGTACTTTATACCACTTTGTCTGCAGATCACCTGATATGATGATATTCTGCGCATTATCTGGAAGGGATTATATACGATATATTTTCGAAACCACTTTCTACTGTGTCCTCGATGGTTGCCAGCCTCGAGGAGAGGAAGTTTGATTTTCAAAATGTCTTTTGAAGGAACGGTCACACACAAAACGTTCATATTTCTATGAGACAGTGGAATTTTATTTCAAACATATTTCACTGTCAATTTATGTATATATCTAATGTATTTTCGTGTAGATATAAGTTGTAATAAAGGTATCATTTTTATGATTATACATATATCATATTGGTCATCTGTTGGCGCAGGTTCAGCGTTGAACTCGAGACTACTCTGTACTTGCCTTTGAACACAGGTTTTCGGAAACTCCGGTGTTTCCTGGGCGGTAGTTTTAGTCGATGACAGTGTACAGAGTAAATTTCGACTACTTTACTCACACATGGAGTTTTATCTTTGTCATAGGCTGTAGAATCAAAGAACTTAAGAACCTAAGAAAAGAGTTGCATTTCATAATAAGAATACCACATTTGAATTCGTTGTTTCATGCTAAATGCTTACCATGATCTATAGATTAAATTGGACGTACCAGCAAATATATGTTGTTTTGGTGCGTTTAAATGGAGAAAAGGTGCATATTTTGAAATATCTCAATAGTTTCTTTTTAAAACGAATGAATTTTGTTTATATATGATTGAATTTTATGTACACAATTTGGCTGCAATAAGACCACTTTTCAAATTATGCACTCTCGGTTTAAAAAGCTAAAACTTAAGTCCTATTATTCTTATTATTAATGACTGCCAGGTTACGTATTTTACTTTTTAATCTGTAAAAATAATTTCTTTATAATAATAAAAATTCCCGGCGAACATTTTGATGTCTATTAAGGGAAAATGCTTATGCAACGTTTCAAGGTAATTAAATATGAAGACCTATGATACACAAACTCAAATGGTGTTGTATAATGTTTTCATTAAAATCGCGACAAACCCAGTTTTTTTTTAAAGTAGGTCGTTTACAAAAGGCGTTATTTTCTAACCGTGATATTCGAACCACATTCAACGATCTGCATGAATCTGTGGTTATGTAGGCAAGAAAAGCATCTTATAAAATCTTCCTTGTCTGCAAACACAATCACTTTTTCAGTTTGCAAAATAAAAAAACAAACTCAATTGGGTTAATAGTCATGGACACTGTTCCCAAACATTTTCAGTTTATGCCCTGTGAACTTGTCTCGATGGTATTGGGTTTCAAAATTCATAAGAATTCTGAAAATCAAGTCGTAGAGTTTTTATTACCAATTTAAGCAAGGTGACAATGGTATTTTGACACTAAATATTCTTGTAGAATAATAGAATGCAGATATTTGAGATTTTTTAAACATTTTCCAAAGACGATTTTTTTAATACTTAGAGACTTTACTCAAACGCTTTATCTATACCCTACAATTCCTCATGACAAACTTGTGGAAATTTTCATTCTTCGACATGTATTATAAGTTTCTGTTCCAAGAAAGGCGAACAGCAATATCAATGAAATTCTGAAACCAAACAAAAACAGTAGCAAAGTGAAGCCCTACTTCAAGTTATCATTGGAAAGAGATTCTTGATGCTTAATAAAGATTATAATGCGCAAGGTCATTTCTTTGTGCTATTTATAGCAGCGCCTGAACCCATAAATCGACCTTTCTGTCGAAGCTTAGCTTATTATCACATTTTGGCCAAACGATGTATTTTGTGATGGTAAATTGTAGTGCATAATTGTAGGTTCGATACTAGTATTGTTTAATTAACTAAATAGCTTACTTAATGTAAATTGGTACACCGGTAATTAACTTAAAAATTGCATACAAACACACGTCTATTCACAGCATGCATTACAACATATGTCGTCTGCCAGATGGGACTGGTCAGGATGTTTAACAATAAACAATTTGCTGGCAACCCTTGCAGCTTAAAGAACATACGTAATATAGTGACAGATCATTCAGTTATCATCTTTTTACCAATACCGATCAATTTTCGAAATACACATTTGATCAATGTTCACTTCACTTTTTATCTTTTAGCCTCCGACTTTTCAATAACTAAAACCTTCTAGTGTTTAAGTAATCTTGTAAACAAAATCTAAAAACTGAACACCTACCTACCGAGTAAGAGCTTAGGAAAGCCAGATAGCTAAACTGTATATAAGGAACTAGACGTTTAATTAACTACCTGGATAGCGGAGATGGTTACTGGACTGCTAACAAAATTAACAGGGATGGTCATACAGTATCATGCTGACGGGATCCGCCAAGACAGGATTGGAACACGGGAATTGGATAAAGAAGTTTCAAGCACTCTAATATTCCGATATAAATACTTAATCCTAGGAATCTTGTATAAGGAAGCAGTTTGTCACAACATCATCCACATTTCAATGGCTTCTTTACATAATCTTTCGATAATTAGACGTTTACTTATAGACATACTGATAACCCCTGATGCTAGTCTACAAGCTCCATTGTAATGAGAAAGACAGTTATCTCTGCAACTGGAAATTATTTATTGATAAAATATAGAAAGCTTCTCTTTATACTCTTGCGGTAAACATAAGTTTAAACGAATTCATTAACCATAACACCTACCTACCGCACTTAAAGCTGTTCTCACCAAAATTGTTGAATCAGTATGAAATCATGACATGCCTTAAATAATCTGAAGCTAAGAGCTGAGAAAACGTATGTTTAATGTAATTACAGATGAGAATATCATTGTCTCTCATTGCTCAGATGTCAAACTATCCAACAAAACAACCTTTAACCTTTCCTACCTAGGAGATCGCAATATCAGAATTGAAAGAATGTTAATGGTGCTGTTCAACGAGCATACAATTTTGAAATAACTGCATCTGTTTGATGGCGAATCCCTTCTATGTCTATCTTTCTGTCTTTTAGTCTGTCTGTCTTTTAGTCTGTCTGTCTTTTAGTCTGCCTTTAGGCTGTCTGTCTGTTTGTCTGTCTGTCTTTCTCTCTAACTCGTGAAAAAAAGTTTTAAAAAGGTTCATGTGTGCAGAACTATGTTAAGATACTCTGGAATCAATGTGAAGCTTTTAATCTAGTGTATCTAGCTTCTGAATTATGAATATAAACGTAATTTGAAATCTTAATTACTAATACTTTATATCAGATAATAAGCGTTTATGACAGAAGGACAGAAGAGAATCACCAGAAATAAAATTAGCCTTCCTTATGTCTATCACATGATCCCAAACTAATAGACATATGAAACCCGGAACCTAAACAGATGGCGTGATATGTTCAGATAAATTTAGCATTCATGACATATTATACATATAGGTAATATTTCACTTTTAGATACATCCAATCTATTTGTCTTATTTACCTGCAGTGTCTGTGAAAAGCAAGTAATGTATATACGACGGGCGTGAAGCATGGTCAGCCTAGCTTTCAAATATATAGTCAATTGTATAATAGATAAGGTAAAAAAATGCGCAAACCTACATGGCTAATGGTCCTATTGTTGCTGTTTGTTGCTTTGTTTAATAGTTTTCAAATTTTAGTTACAATCTAATCTATTATTATGTTGATCTTCACACAATAGTGTCAGATATGTAACAAGGGATTTCCTAGTTTTACATGGCAAAGCCTGCTCACCACGGCGATGTAGCTAGAACACCATCTTTAGTAGTGGGTATACAATTAATGCTGGTCACGAATTGTTTTACACGGGTATACAATTAATATACACCCAAATCAGCATAACACACACCATCTGATTTCCCCATTTGATGCGTCAAAAAATTCTTCCAAATGAGATCAATTAAGTGTCGTCTGCGTCACTACACAAACACGATCGTGTTGGTTATACAATGCATCTGGGTCAACGCTGTTGCACGAACTGTTATGTTCAGACTGCCAGTTTATACGTTATATCATTGTAAGTTGTATGATTCCCGCAATAAATCTAGAACACTCAACAAGTGTTATCTTCTCTCCATATAGTTGGTCTGGCACTCTACCCTACCAGTGGGTTACATTGTTGTATTAATACGCTAGGAACAGTGTCTCGTAGTGCATGGCATTTAAATTACCATCAACGATACAACTCTCAAGTAGATTACCTAATGACAATGCCATGCATATGTAAATATGAGTGGTAAAAGTTGCAGTGTAAAATAGCGTCAGAGTTATAGTGATAACATTGATGCTGTTATGCGAATGTTTGATTTACAGCCAAAGGTACACCTCAACGTTGTAAGTCAAAAGTTAATTATGTCTTAATTAACTTATATATCGGTCAATCTATATTTGTATTGTGCGTGCTTGCATATCCCATTTCAGGAGAGAAATACACACACGTAAAAATAGTGACGTTACCATAATCGAGAGATCTTGGGTTACCACAGTCACCGAAAAACATGGTTGTTATTTAACAGTATTCCATATCAGGAAGGGTGCATTAAGACACTGCGGTCTGCCGTCAATAAAACCCGAACAAACAGACTAGAATTGTCTAGACCACAAGTGTGTTACATTACCTGGGCAAATTGTTTGATTTTCATTCATGACGAATGCTGAAGGAGAAAGTTCGCCAATTTCAAAGGAAAACATTGATACCACCACAGTGCTATTTTCATATTTTCTGTCACAATTGTTAGAATTATTTAGACGTGTAAAACTATCTGATAAGTTAAAATATCCTAAGTTTGGATTTAAAGGGGGGGTTTTCCTCCCGTGGAATGTGGTGGTTTACACAAATACCTTGACCATGTTTTAGCTATAAAGTCAACAAGTGTCTGGTGATTCACTATCCCTACGACCTATATGAAAGAGGTCATTCAAATTTAAAATTGCATTAAAAAAACAATAGGTGAAAAACGTATTTAAGAATGTATTGAAACTATATTTGTAAGTGTGTCCCTATGCAGACAAAACAGTTGTTTGTTATGATATATAACAAAGATTCACAAAGCTGAACGATTCGATTAATTGATTCGGTCTACCTTGTACCCTGTACCCTGTACCAATACCCTGTACCTCGTACACATCATGTGTTGTGAAACTATATTTTTCAAGTAGATATGTGTATAAAGATACATATCGTGTCAAATGTATGGTGCTGTGACAGAACAGGGCGCATGATACGGGGTACGGGGTACAGGTTATGTGGTACAGGGTACAGGGTACTAGTATCAGGAACAAGCATAGACAATGTTTATATATTTACACTAATGAGAGGCATCTGCCACCCGCGTTACGGTACCGGTGCGATAAGTATCCCGTACCGCGGGGTCCTGAAATGAGACCTTTCTAGGACAATTCCCTCTCTTACAAATCAGTTACGCCTGATGCGCGTAACATAGTTTTTTTCTGTTTTGCACTTATCACTCGCGTAACTGTGAATGTGTAGGTCAAACTGCTTGGGAAACCTCCAATTGTACACATATGAAATAGCAGACGACATCATGGAAATCTCAACTTTATATGATAATAATATATGTAGACTAAAGGCAACTCAGCACTATTATATAGCTTACATATTGTAATTATCCCTCTTCTTTCTACATATTTTTAATATGTCAGACATGGTTTCGTTGTTCAAAATGTTTCTCTTCATTCCACCATTTCCTCATATGGAACGTGTAATATCTTCTCTTTAAAATGACGTTTTCATTCTGATTCTGCTCTTTCCAAGGCAGCGGCCACCGGTGTAATTTGAATAACTTCACTGTCACGAGTGGGATTATCGTCTACCATGTCAGTATTTATATCAATTCGAAGAGATCTCGGATTACCTCCGTCCAATACTTTCTGGTAATAGGATTTCCAGTGTTCCGGTTCAAAAACATAAACGGAGCCAATCATACTGATTTGATATGTCTCTCCACCACCTATTGTATACACCATTCAAACCCTATGTGTCTCGGCCTTTTATAGGGAATGTGATACCAAAGCTCAGGGGAAACACCATCTGGTGCCGCAAAAGTGCCGCAGTGCCGCATAACAGCAAAGCAGCTCCTTCTCCTCAACCTCCTCCCCTCCTCCTCCTTCTGAAGCTTCTTGACTACTATAATTAACTATATGGCTGCTATCTGATATCTGAAGATTACATATACCCAGATCAAGATACAAACATACAACGGCCTGGTCAGACATTTGCTGGAATATGCATCCTCCGTATTGGACCCGCACAACCAGCACAACATAAACAGCATTGAACGCATCCAAAGAAAAAGCTACGAGGTATGTCACGAACCGTTATCGGATAACGCCCAGCGCCCACTACAAGAAAGGAGGAAGGAAGCTAGACTATTGATGTTATACAAGATAGACAGAGGTATGGTTGCCATCTGTAAAAAACAGACTGCTACCACTAACATGACTTGCCAGGAACACCAATACTAGATCCTTCCAACTCCTTACCTGCAGGACTGATTCAAGAAAGATGTCTTTCACTCTCGGCCTCTGAAACCCTTAAAGCTTCTTTTATCCTTTTTTTCTTTTACCTACAAACTTATTTTAACTGTGCCAGTCCTGTCACATGTGCAATCGCCACACATTGCAGAAGCATCAACCTGTTGGTGGCGGCAATAATTGGGAGAAGATAAAGAACATGTTGGTGAAATCTACCCTTTTGAAATTGTAAAACTTCCTTTTTTGTATTCAGAAAGAGCTTAGCATTCCAGAAATGTATGTGCTTATAAACAACACCATACAAAAGAGAGTCACCAGAAATCCGCTTACATTATGTCTATCACATGATCCATGTTT